CTTTGTTTCTTAGTAATAGTGTCTGTGGCTCCATTATGCTTTAGCCTTTTACCCGTTCGTTACAAGTACAAAATAGCACTTGATAAATGGAAACTGGATTGTAGTCCTCTAGTTGGATATTCCATAAACTTTCTATTTACCTCAGCGGCATGGACGAATTCTGCACTAGCTTTCCTCAGTAGCTAATGCAGTCAGACACTATGCCAGAATAAATTCCCTTTTCACACTGCGTTTGGTATGCTTTTTATGTGAGAACGGGCATGCCCTTGGAACTGGGATACATGATCGTTGTTTACTCCTAACACAAGCGCACAGGCGGTGCCTGCTGGACCACTTGCACTGTTAATTCTCTGACTAGTCTGCACTTCCATGAAGTGTCTGTCTTCTGCATGTGTGGGTTGACACACAAAACGCTTCTTAATCTTTCAGGCTGATTAGGGGGCTGGTTTTGGATCATGGTGCTCGTCATCCTGACATGAAGAAAAGAGTGGAAGATGCTTATGTTCTTACTTGCAATGTATCTCTAGAATATGAGAAGACGTAAGTACGCAGCAACAAGGTGAGGAGCAGAAAATGCTCCTGTCTTAAAACACTTTTATTTAAGGTGTGCTTAAACAAAACCCAAGAGGACTGCATAGAGTCTTCTAGAGCAAGGCGGGTCATGTAGAAGGTGGGATGGAAGAGGTGTAACAATTTGCAGAATAATCTGTACTTTTCCTCTGCATTGGAAGGGTTTGCATTCCTTTTATGTGTATTCAGAAAGACGGTACGTTTTCTTCTGCCATCGTTTTTTGGAAAAGGGAAGCTGGTGGCTGAGAAAATGTCATTGAGAGACAGAGCTTCATAGTGGTTTTTATTTTGTTTCATTGAAAAAAGGCTGAAAGTCTTTCCTTTCTTGGGCATAATTTTATATTTTAGAGCGAACATCTAAATATACTTTAGAGTTTGCTCAGTTTCAAATGGAAAAGCTCTGAGCTAGAGAGCAGGAACAGCATGCTGGTTTGGGGCAGGGTTCTTGTTTTGTTTTGATTATTTTTTTAAGAATGTAGATGAAAGGATTTATTCTTTATGCTTAAGCTTATTTCTACAGCACAGAGGATAATTGTCATACTGCTTTTTTGGGTTTTTTTTCCTCCTTCAGAGAGGTGAGCTCTGGATTCTTCTATAAAAGTGCTGAAGAGAGAGAGAAGCTAGTGAAAGCAGAAAGAAAGTTCATTGAAGACAGAGTGAAGAAAATCATAGACTTGAAAAGAAGAGTCTGTGGCGATTCAGATAAAGGATTTGTTGTGATCAACCAGAAGGTGAGAAGAAGGGTGTAACTAACTAGAAAAATTAATTTGAAACCTTGGCTTTCTAGGCAAGCTGTGTGCTGTTGGACTCATTTTGTATAGTTCTTCAGGCAAAAATAGCTGAATTTAGGCTGGTGTACTTTTGAATGTATGGATACAGTTCCTACTTGAGATCTTTTTTGGGCCCTGAGGAAGAACTTACCCTCTCTCAGTCTGACACTAATGAGTGTTTTTAGCTTTGTCTGTATCCTGATGGTCACATTCTTTGTTTCTAGGGAATTGACCCGTTTTCCTTGGATGCGCTTGCGAAAGAAGGAATAGTTGCTTTGCGGAGAGCTAAAAGGAGGAACATGGAAAGGTGGGTTCCTGGGGAGAGGAAGGGTTAAAATAAATGCTCGTCCAAACTCAAACAGCGTGTCAAGTCTGGCTTGAATCCACCTTTAAGCACTTGCACTAAAAAGTCCGCTCCAGTCTGTTTAGCCCTTACTGGTGTAACTCGGGGTAGTTTGTACAAACCGTAGAAACGTCATTTCAGCACATAGAGTGACGTAGGAATTTGAGCTATCGGTATGCTTCAGATGGAGACACCTGTAGAGGAGACTTAATTCTGCAAGCTGGTTTTTGTGAAGAGCTTTTTCGTGAACAGAAGCAAACCGTTGCAATCCTAGGAAGCGTGGTGTTCTGTGTGCTGAAATATGATTGTTAGGTTAGTGATTTCAGATTTTGCTTAACATAAAGCGAGTGCTAAGCTGTGTGTGTTGTCTCTCAGACTGACCCTTGCGTGTGGCGGTACTGCTATGAACTCTGTGGAAGATCTCACTCCTGACTGCCTGGGGCACGCGGGGCTTGTCTATGAGTATACATTGGTGAGTACAGTGAAGCTTTCCACTGAAGATAGGTTATATATGCCTCGCTTGATGCCAGCTTTCCTCTTCGTACATGTGTACATTGATTAAGCAAATGCTTGACACAAATATGTAATCCTGTTTTACAGGGTGAAGAGAAATACACCTTTATTGAGAAATGTGACAACCCCCGCTCTGTTACCCTGTTGATCAGGGGGCCGAATAAGCATACGCTCACGCAAATCAAGGATGCAGTGAGAGACGGTCTGCGTGCTGTTAAAAACGCTATTGAGGATGGTAAGTCTCCGCTCTGTTCAGCGGTGTTGAGGATCTTCTCTTGAAATTCACCTCAAAATTAGGGAATTTTTTATCAGCTTCCTTGGTACCCAGTGCAGTCAGGCGCCAAGCCGAGTGTATTTTGCTGTGGAATGCTTTTAGTTACTGTTCTTACACCTCCTATTTTACAAGTAGTTGATAACTTTGTAAGTACTTAACTGATCAACACAAGCTGTCTTTTTAAGGAAGAGGGAGGAGATCAAACTACACTAAAATTTAACTATTCGAATTTTAATAGATGCTTACTGTGAAGTCTGAACACCAAGTTTTTCCTTGCAGGATGCGTGGTCCCAGGAGCGGGTGCGCTAGAAGTGGCCGTAGCTAATGCTCTTGTTAAGCATAAACCAAATGTAAAAGGAAGAGCCCAGCTTGGAGTCCAAGCTTTTGCCGATGCTCTGCTCATCATTCCTAAGGTATAAGCAACTCCTGAATAAAGTGGCTTTAAAGCACGTTAAGACCCATCGCATTTTCTGCTGGAGGTCTCTTTTCATTAACAACGGGAACTGATGTCTCTGTTCTCTCGAAGGTTCTCGCTCAGAACTCTGGTTACGATCCCCAGGAAACACTGGTGAAGGTTCAGACAGAGCACGCAGAATCGGGGCAACTCACTGGAGTCGATCTGAACACTGGTAAGAACTTCCTCAGATAACGGGATGACGCTCCAGTAAGAAACTGGTGGCTCAGCTCCATGAGGAATAAAGTCACTTCAGGTGCCAAAAGCTGTACCTTAATTCATGACAGGCTGTGCAGAGTGCCTTGGTGGGCGTCCTGTGGCTGCAGTGTTGGCGTGCTGGAGTGCTTAAATGCGTTGTGTTCAAGCCTGTTGCGAAGATGAAGCACCCAATAACGCTGCGTTGGGTGTAGCGAGTAATATCGGGTGTTAGCCAGAGGAAAGTCTTGCTTTGAATTGTGTGAGCTGGTTATCTAAAGAATTTTATTTCTTCTGTAGGTGAGCCGATGGTAGCTGCGGCAGCTGGAATCTGGGATAATTATAATGTCAAAAAGCAACTGCTTCATTCATGGTAAATGTTACGGTATTTTCACTCTAAATAGCAATGAGTGTTTGATAGTTTAAATTGAGAGAGTGATATGGAATCGACGGATCCCACATAGAGGAAGCTGCCTTGAAAGGCAGAAATGAAGCTGAGTTGTTTTTGAACTCTGTCAAAACAGATATTATAACAATATTTATTTAATATTTCTAGCACGGTGATCGCCAGCAACATTCTCTTGGTGGATGAAATTATGCGAGCTGGAATGTCCTCTCTTAAAGGCTGAGTTGGACCTGCCGCTGCGACGGTGGTCAGCTCCGGTGGTGCCCCGTGGAATGTCTTTAAGAACCCCACTCACAGGCGCTCTTTTCTTAGCCCTGGTGGATTTTCCCAGCGACAGAAGTTACTCTGCTGCAACGAGCAGCCCCTCTCCGGTAAACGCGGCCACTCAAAATATTAGCAACCGTTCCAATATTTGGCTCTAAAAATCAGTTATTTATTTTTCATTTCACTGAAGTGTACAACTGAAGTTGCTTTCCTTTTTACCCAATAAACTGTTATGTTCTGTGCTTTATGTGTGTCAGTTATTTAAAACTTTACCTTGTTGGGGCCAAGGTCTCGAGCGTTGTGCTTCAGCCTTCGGCGGCTCCTTGAGCTGCCGTTCCTGACTCCCAGCTCTGCCTGCCAGACTCGGTTATTGATTCGGATACTTGGCCTCGGAACATTCCTTCTCCTGGGGGGGGGGGACTGTGAAATCACTGCTGCAGGCTCTGCCGCTGGAGGGATGTGGGCTCAGACCTGGAATTTGTTAATTCATCGTAAAGCTAAATTAAGCCAATCGCTTCATAGTTCTGTACTTGCTCACAGGTAAAACCGAGCGAGTTAACCTGGAAATGTTGAAGTGTGGTGAACAAACTGTTGCGTGTTATAACACACTGGTAGATTTTTGATGCTGTTCTGCTGCATTAAGCTATTAGTGGGTCAATGGCAGCGTGCCGCATCTGGGCGGAACTGCGCCTTCAGATGGAGCCTGGTGGGATGAGGGGTGGGTTTGGGGGGGGGAACAGCTTCAACAACTTTCCCTAATCCAGCTTTGGTCTGTTAAGAATCGGGAGCCTCCTTCCCTAGTCACGGGTGGCTGCGGAATGACCATAAAAGCACCTATTCAAACAATCCTGACAGAACGGATTTAAAACCAGGTGTGGTGGGTTGACCTCTGTCAACAGCCAAACACCTGACCAATCTCTTGCTGACTCCCCTCTTCCATGGAACGGAGACAAAATAGAAGGAAAGCAAGAAAACTTGATATCACAGTAATGACAGTTTAATAAGGAAAGCAAAAGTTGCATGAAGAACCAAAACAAACAAACAAACAAAAAAAAAAAGAAACCCCAAACCATGTGCTCCTGTTCCGGCACAACCGCGTGGTTCCCGCGGGCGGTGCCACGCGTGGGGGGCAGATCCCGGAAACACTTTCCCCCACCGCTTCTGGGTCAGAGCCCGCTGGTTCCCTTTCCCCTTCCTTCCCCTTCCCGGACATGGCTCCGGGGGCGGTGGGACTGGTTCTGCTGCTGTGCTGTGGGGCGATCCGGGGTGAGCTCCCCGCCCCGGGCTGCGGTGGCTTTTGCATCTCGTTTTCTTGCTTCTCGTTGCACGAAAGCCATAACATCACTTTTTTTCTCCCTTTCTCCTAATGGCAGCAAAATACTAAATATTAATTTAAAGGGGCTGCCTTGCTGATTGCACCAGGCCGGAACTGTGCCTTTCCTAAAAGAAACACCAAAAACGTGACTTTAAAATATTTTAAGCTTGCCGGTCGCAGTCGCTTACTATATTGCACCCGCCTTCCAGTGCATAAAGTGATTTTCTGGTAAATAATGTGTGTTTTCCCGCGCGGTCCTATTTAAAAATGAAACTTATACCGCATTTCTTCACTTTTAGCATTTGGAAAGGATGAAAACATGGTGCAGCTGCCTGGGGGGAAGTTTCAGATGGGATCCAGTTCCCTGGAGAAGAGGAACGAAGAGGGGCCCGTCAGGGAGGTGACGGTGAAGCCCTTTGCTATCGACAAATACCCCGTCACGAACGGGGATTTCAGGTACGGTTCAGCGCGGGGAGGACGCGGCTGTTGCTGCTGTCCCGGGGCTGGTTCCGGGCTCCGAACCGCTCGGACGCTCCCGGCACCTTCGGTAGAACGACAAATGGGTCTGTCTGTAATAAATCACCTCTATGGGTGCAAGCTGGAGCATCCTACCAGTGTAGTTTGCAAATGTGCTTCCTTTCCCCCCCCCTTTTCCCCTTTTTTCCCCCCTTTTCACCTCTTTCGCCCTATCTCCCCCTTTTTATCCCCCTTTTCCCCTTTTTATTCCCCCCTTACCCTTTTTCCTCCCCCTTCCCCTTTTTCTTCCCCTTCCCCTCTTTCCTCCCCTTCCCCTTTTTCTTCCCCTTCCCCTCTTTCCTCCCCTTCCCCTTTTTCCCCCATCTCCCCCTTTTTCCTCCCTCTCCCCTCCTTCCCCCATTTTCCTCCCCTTTCCCCCTTTTTGTCCCCCTTTCCTGCCTCTCCCCCTTTCTCCCTTCCCCTTTCCCCCTTCCCCTTTTTCCCCCTTCTCTT